GGACTTCATTCAGGTTAACATAGATAAAGCAAAGGTGATGAAGATTCCTGGCCAACACCAACAGCAGCAACAACAACAGACAACAGTCAGCCAGCGTGAATGGGAGGGACTCAAAAGAAACAACCTCCTTTACCTACCAACATGAGAAGCATCGTTTCAATTACAGGAGGACGAAACTGAAGACGACATCAAAGCAGCGAGGATCGGAAAAGCAAGACAAGCTTTCATTCCTCTCAAGTCTGTGTGGAGGTCAACAGCCCTACTCAGCATGAAAATGAAAATGAGATACGGATTTTCAACTCCAATGTGAAGTCAATCAGTGCTACTATACGGATCAGAGACTTGGCCGCGTGTCATGAAGAGCACCTCAAACAAACTACAGAACTTCATCAACAGCTAACTGTGTTTGCTCAATATCCTTGTCAAGATCAGATGGTTGACCAGAAAAGATCAGCAACAGGGATCTCTGGCAATGAGCGAACCAACACAGCAGGAACCAATTGTGCAAAAAATAGGCAGGAAGAAATGGAGATGGATTGGCCGTACGCTGAGGAAACCATCAAGTGAAATCACTAGACAACCTATTGCTCAAGTGGAACCCGAAAGGGAAGCGGCGAGTTGGTCGTAAGTGTCAGGGTGACTTGGAGGAGGTCATGTGAAGAGGAGATGGAAGCATATGGGCAGACTTGGAGCGGGTTGAAAAAGTTGGCAGAAAACCGAAGGCAATGGAGACGTGGGATTGAAGCCCTATGTTCCTCTGGGAATTAGAGGATATATATATATATAGTGGATGTAGTTAGACGGAGATATATTCACTTTAGAATATTGTAAGACAGGAAATACGTCTGATCTACAGGCTACTCATATAATCGTATGAAAAGGTTAGGAACAAGGTGTACTTTCATTAAGACCAATTTAATAAGGGTGCTTGTCTTAAGAAACCTGATGTAGATAAAGGGTTGCTAAACTTACCTTAAATTTACAGAAGACAACTTTAAGAAGACACTAGTTTTTAACCTTTTCGCCTTCATACAACACCACAAAACTAACATAATTAGTGTATAATTATGACTGCACTCAAGAACCTGTTCTCCATGTGAGTATCTGTCATAATGTATAAGTTACATTATGAGAAGGAGCTGAAAAACAGTAAATAAACACTCATCTCGTATCCCATATGTGTACGTCAACTCATTTGTATTCATATGCTGAAGAAAGTATATATATGAAAAGCAGAAGAAAAACAAACCCCTTTTTATATTTGGAATACTTCGAATGACTTTTGTCTCAGTTGACTTAATGAGGTCAACACTATCTAAGACGCCAAACATGACAGTGTTGGAGCTTGAGAAATCTATAAAATAACTAGGAACACGTACGCCATGGTTCATTGTACTTTCAAATAGATAGAAATTAAAAAAGTGGTGACTAAATTCTGTATTCGAAAAAGCAGACTTAGTGGTTGGCATCAGGTAATTATCATCAGTGATAGATTTTCTAAGATAAAATTTCATTTTCCAGAACTTCTGTTTTGCTTTGCATTCTTTACCATTCTGACAGTGATCATAACTTGTTCATATTTTGTTTTCATGTGTTGCTTTTCAGAGATCTGACTGACTGATTTCACTGTTATGTCCACAATTCCCCGCTCACTGTCTTTCCCATTCAGTTGTTATTCTAGTTCTTAGAGTTCCAGTCATCTTCTCGACTTATGTGTAGTGATTGAGAATTCTGTGACATGTCATTATTAAAAACATGGGGGGAGATTCTATTCAAAGTAAATCTAACTTATGCTTTGTGTGCTTTTCAACATGGATTAGCAGATGCCTTTGGTCAATAATTTCTAACTGCTGCCTCAAATTGCATGAGAATTCTTTTTACTAGCGTCATTTCTGAATTATTTTTATGTACCTTTCTTCCTTTCGCGTAAATTCTATCAATAATATTTTAAGAATTGAGATAAATTATTGAGAAACGTAAGTTTTTCTCAATACTTCTAACTAACAATGTACACACAACAATTTAATTCTGAGTAAGTGTTAAACCATTTAAGTGTGCAGCGAGAAAAAAATAGCAGAATTCCTCATCAGAATTAATATTTGAATGTTGAAAAATTAATAATCACACACCTAGAAACCTGATATTCCTTTTTTTTTTCAAAAATAACCCAAATGACTACACATTTCTCTGGGTCTTCAAAAACGAATAAACATAAAAATGAACCTCAGTTTTATATAATATTCAAATTGTTCAATGAGTAAATCAGTCTTCGAATAACTCTCACCTACTTCTTGTTGTTTGATAGATATTCGCTAGCAGTGGAGTCCGGAGAATAATTTCCCTCCTGTTTGAGACTAATCAGATGGTTCAACTACATCCCAGTGATTGACGGTGTCTCCACTGAGACTACTCAAATCCAGCATCCATTGTTTCACACATTAGTGAGTTATGCACTATGCCACCTACTGTGCGACAGACACCACTTATGGTATTTTCAGCCTTGTGAATATTTTTGAGTGGACACTAGTTATTAACTAGTGTAATGTGTCCAGTGCCTAGTTTGGCGTAGACTAAATTCTATCCGTCAAGCAAATATTTCGTTGTTGTTGTTGTCTTCTTCTGGACTGAGAAGTCTGAGTGCGCTGAAATCCTGGATTTAACTGCTAGTCATCATGTGTCAAATAAAATCAAAGAAATCATCAATTCACATGTCAAAACAGACCTACCATTTTGTTTCAGTGGAAACAAATAAAGGACAACTTACAAGTTTCACTGGAGCAGTAGATACTTCTTTTAATAGATTTTATTCTATAATTACCTTTCTAAAGGAATCGGCACGTTGCATTACCTAAATACCCAAAAAGAATTTAGAGCAGAGGTTTTCTAATATCCTGTTGTCTTTGGTATTTCTGAAATAATATTCTCAGAAATCTATTGTTCTGCAAAGTACATAATTTAATATAGGTAAGATGTTTATTTTTCTATAGTTTGGTTTGTAAGGGTTAGTTATGCTTTTACGAGTTGATCACAGATTGATATCAGTTAGAGAACCATTGAAAACCAGGGAGTACTGGACAGCTGCTGCTTCATCCTAGTTTGGGAATCATCGGCAGTACGCACCCACCGAGATTCGAACCCAGGACCTTCCGGTTACAAGGCAAGCTCGTATTGGTGCAAGTTAGAATTCATGAACCATTGAATCGGGTCCCAGTGGCTGAATGGTATACGAGCTTGCCTTGTAACCGGAAGGTCCTGGGTTCGAAGCCTGGTGGTGGGTGCGTACTGCCGAGGGTTCCCAGACTAGGATGAAACAGCAGCTGTCCAGTACTCCCTGGTTTTCAATGGTTCTCTAACTGATATCAGTCCGTGATCAACTCGTAAAAGCATAAGATGTTTATACCAAAACTTGAAAACAGATTCACGATCAGATGAGGACCTAATTAAAAATAAATATTTCTTCGCCTAATCCTTCCGCTTTCTGGAATCAAAAGTACTGGTGTGCAGGGATTTGAGTGAATTCACGTTAGATTTCTTGACGAAATGACATCATCTAGAGAGCCACAAAAAATCAGAGAGAATTGAATAGCCATTTCTTCTTAGCCTTGAAATTCGTGGGCAATTGGATTCTATCTCAGTGACTCTAACCTGAAAGTACTGTACTTGATCCCTTGAAGGCTTTTGGATAAGTACTGCAGAAGAGTTCGCCGCTGGCTAACCACGCGTGTGGTCATGCTACGATACTTGGTTGACGCACTCCTAGTTTACCAGCAGACAGTAAACCTAGGAAATTTGGGATGCTGACTGTGTGACTAGCAACCCTACTTAGTTAAAAAAGAGCAGTGCGGATACTGAAGCCTTGATACTTGAGGCCTTAGATTCTGCTGGAGACTGAAATGAATGTGAAATAATCTCTGAAGAGTCCCAAACCAGGACGAAACGGATGTCCAGTCATTCTTTGAGGTTTCTAATTTTTCTCTCATTGCCGCTGGCTCGTCGTGGAATCTAACTTTACATTAAGCGTCCCAGTGCTGGCCATAATTATAATTAGCAAGTGTTAGTTTTTAGGGAATCGATTGGTTACACGATTGATCATCGGTTGACAGTAGTTAGAGAACCATCAGAAATTCCAGGAGTACTGTACTACCATTTTATCCTAGTTCAGAACTCTTCATCAGTACGCATCCGCTGGGGTTCTAACGCAAGACCTCCTGGCTACAAGGTGAGGTCGTAGACCAAATGGTCTACTAGGAGGTGCGTGATTCAATGACTCATTGATGCCCACTTCTGGCAATTCGCTCAACTTCCAATCAGTGTCGTAGGCCATTAACTGATTTCCTATCTAACTTGGTGATCCCTGTTGCTTACATCTTCTCCAAGTAACTTTCTGTGTAGACCCCCAGAGGGTGGGTCCTATCGAAGAGTCGTAAGCACAGGACGAAATGGCTGTCCAGCACTCCCAGGTTTTTCAGTGGTTCCCTAACTGATATTTACTCCTGGCCACACTGCATTAATAGGAACTGATTTGATATAAGTAGATGGGTTACTTCATTTTAGAATATTATCAGACATGATTGTCATAGATTAAGCGAGATCTAATTGTCATTTTCACACAATTAAACAGATTTTTTTACTGGCAAATTATTGCTACAGGTTATTTTAAAATTTTAACAAATCACATTCAAGTGATTAGGTCAGTTATGTGCACATATTTTGATGAGTGTGTGTATGTCTGTGTGCAAAGAATGCGTTTGTGCGTACCTGTGTGCTGGACGCATAAACGATTAAACATTAATTCCCAGGCTATGATGGTGCAGGAAAATAGATAGATCAGGTTGCAGAGTGAATTTCAGCTGTTCCCTGGGTAGACCAATCAATCACCGATTACGTGATGTGCCATTGAACCCACCCCTCAAATTAGTAAATAAATTATAGCATATTTAACCGCTTGTGTTTTACAGAAAACATTTACTACTACTATACCATTAAACCATTTAACAGGAATGCATACATCAACGCCTTACACTCATCAAGTAACACAAGACTATACCATTCCCAACGGATTAAACATTTCATCAAGTTTTCATGAGGATTTACATTTAAGCACATCTCAAACTAACTTGAAGAAGGTAAGTATGCAATAATTACTATTGTCACCATTTTGTTTTCATTGCTTTGTCTTTCGAGTACGGTTTCAAGTTTGAAATCTCAGTAGTCTTAGTGGCGTTACCAGCCTCACAGGCAACCTTACCCCTTTCCTTGGTTCATTATCGGCTAGTAAACTAGGCGAGGTTTAGGAGTGCGTCAGTTAGGAGCCGAAACCTGAACCATGTGTGGTTCGGTTAACAAGCATTCTACTGATGAACCACCAACGTATGTTAGTTAGACATTAGTAAGACATTATTCACTAGGGTCACAATGTTTGTCAACACTTCAAGAGGAGAAACAAGACAAGTTGGAGTACCTGGGAGTTCATCACAGTTCCTGTCGCATGCTAAGCAGGAGCTCTACCAGTTGAGTTAACGCCATAATACTGTCAGTATTAACTAATCATATTTATTCAAGTTTTGGTTGAAGAGTCTTGAACTAGGACGAAACAGTTGTACAGTACTCCCAGGTTTTCGAATGGTTCTCTAATCAATGTCAACTTATGATGAAGTCTTGTAATCGCATTTATTATTAACATGGTATGAAACTGAATGTATATATTCAAAAAAATACTACATTTAGTGTGAATGTTTGAAAAGTCCTTAGAATTGTAGAAGGAAAAGACGTAGTAACTTTTATCTAGAAGAGTATGAAACATTTACACCACACTGAGATGTATTCATTCCAAGTACTTTGGCTTTGTTTTGTATACCGCTCTGATTTACCTATATAAAGCTAATATGTATAGTTCTGTTCGTGTGTGAAACGCTTTGTGAAATGAAATGCATGTTACATTTTGTCCAGTCGAACGCTTGATAACTGCAAGCAGTTAGTTTTTGACAGAGGAACTCTCTGGAATACTCCTGAATTGATGGGTGACGACTAAAAGCGAAATTAAAACCCATCTCAAGTTAGAATTTGAATGAGCCGTCTTTTGATTACTAAACATAGTAGTGAAGTCTCTTAGCACAATCAGTGGGTCGGTGAGATTAGTCATCCGAAAGCCACTAGTTCTATTCCTGTGTCGACTGTCATTTGTCTTTATTATATATCAATATTTATGTGTTGAGTGATGATTACATACGAAATGAAAATTCGAACTAGCGACCTCTGAATTAGAAGATTCGATTTCTGACGCAGGGCTACCTCACACAGTCTCGTCATAAGTGAGGAGACTCAGTTTAGAAGCATAGCAATGAATTTAACTAAGCATTAGTTTTCTATAGTTTGGTTTGTAAGGATTAGTTATGTTTTACGGGTTGATGCTCGCTAGTGACTTGCTACAGGTTGGAGTTTCCTGAGTTCTAGTGAGAAGTCGTGACCAGTGAGGTCCAATTAGATGTCACGTGTGTGGATGGATGTCCCACCAACGACAATGGTTGGGGTCGCGCTAAATCACGAATTAGTAGAAGTTAGAATTCACGAGCCATTGAATCGGGTCCCAGTGGCTGAATGGTATACGAGCTTGCCTTGTAACCGGAAGGTCCTGGGTTCGAAGCCTGGTGGTGGGTGCGTACTGCCGATGATTCCCAAACTAGGATGAAACAGCAGCTATCCAGTACTCCCTGGTTTTCAATGGTTCTCTAACTGATATCAATCCGTGATCAACCCGTAAGCATTAGTTGATGTACAATTTCTAGGCGATTATGAATCGACTCCATAAGGAGTAGTTCACACGTCATACCGAAGGATGATTCATTACCGATTGATGTCATAGTACTGTTGAATACCTCATACACTCACTTATAAAGTCACATGTTTAGAATTATTGTTATTAATAAGTTGGTGATGAGATGTTGCTACCGTCACTATTTCTCAGTTGACTAATTACAATTAGCATCTCATCCCATCCTATTAAGATTCATTTTTTTAAATTTGTTAATTAGAATTGACTAACTTTTCTTGTATTCCTTTTCTAATTTAATCAAATTAATCAGCGTAATAAACCATTGATGGAGAAGCGTAGACGTCAAAGAATTAATCATGCACTTGAAGAATTACGAAAGTTGATTATTGAACCTCGAATGAAGCATGTGAGTCATTCATTCATTCATTAAACACGTAGCCTCATCAATAAACAATTATTACTGTTAACTAATTATGTAACTGAAACATTATTCATATGATTGATAGTACGTGTGTTTGTCTATGTGGTTTATTTGAGGTGAAGTGGATTGTGTTTTTGTGATGAATATGCTTCTGTGTAATAAATTTATTTATAGGCAGTTAGGTAGGTAGGTGAGTGAGTGTGGAGAAAACTTGCTGGCGTTAAGTGGCAATTCATAGAAGTCAATAGGCATGTTTCATTTTATTGAGATAGTCGATTCTCTAATTGTTTCTATAATGTAATCCAACGTGTCAAGTGTAAATATAGATTAATCAAAATAGTATTAAATTAAATTAAGTTTTGTTAAACAATTAGTCTTTATGTTTCAAAGTATTTTTGTAAAGATGTGCACACTCCCTCGTAGATTAATCATCATTTCATTTTTTGTTAACATCTTCACTAGAAAAGGATAAAAGGTGGAAAGTGAAAGGTACCACATATGTTCAAGGGATATATAAATCTATACTCATTACATCAGGCAGTCAGCATTGAGTGAGACAGAAGTATAGAATTTATTTTCTTTTGTTCAAGTTCAGTTTGAATTTCTTCAAGTAAAGCAACCTTTGAGGGAAATTTACTAACACTTATCTAGAACGGCGTTAGATGTACTTAAAATTTAAGGTTCACTAAGTATGAACAGCCAAAGAGAGAGAGAGAGTCGTTAAGACAGTCTATCTTCAGTTGAAATTTATAATGTGTTATTCTATCTGTTCACTGCATTGTAAAAGATAAATGGAATTCACGAAATACGATGTTTACGACAAGTCATATTCAGCGAGTGGAGGCAATCGGTAGGAAGCCTTCGTTCTAGGTTTCGGGCTAGTCAGCACTTGTCAGTCAGCATGACGTTTCTGCAGCCTTGAAGAACTCATACCCCCTTCAGAGATTTAAACCCATGATATCGACAGCTGCAGTCAGAGATGTTATCACTGAGTTATTAGGAGTCGCGATTGACCTTCCGTTAGTACTGAACTGGGTACTCTGATTGGAAATGAATTCCTTCAAGATTGCAGATACTCTTTACTGTTGAGTGCCAAGTAACACGAGGTCCAAGGCTTCCTTCTGATTACCTCCAAATATCTAATATCAACAACTTTGAGTAGTGCACCGTGATGGCGAGTGACCTAACATGTTGACCATATTGCAAAATCGACTGCGCCAAACAAAGGACTAGACACGCCACACGAGTAAGTGGTGTCCAATCAAACAGGACATATAACTTCAACATCTTAAACTGATCAAGTTGCATAGGGTTTTGCTCTTCCTGTCTGGTGAGGTAGCCAACGAAATTAGTTAACTTGACTCTTGTTTTATTTCACACTGTTGATATCACTCAGCCTTTTTTTTACGTATCTTTTGTATTTTTCTTTCCTTTTCAGTCTAACAAATTAGAGAAGGCCGATATTCTAGATATAACTGTGAAATTTATCAAAGAATTATCAGTTGGTAAGTATAATTGTAATTTCATGTGGCGAATGTACAATATTAGTAAATAAGTGTTTTTCTTACATAGGAGAACACGGTTATCTCATCTCTTGGTACTGTAAGCTGATAAAGCGAGAAACTCCACTACAGGTCTTATCCCATAGGACACTTGTTTCATCACTAAATAATCGATGCTTTCAGAGTAGGTTTCGTCAGCTGTTTCATTCTAGTTTGAGAATCTGCAGCCATCAGCCCTCCAGGAAGTTAACTCAGGAAATTTCAGGTTACTCAATGAGCTCATTGATGAATTAGCCACTGATGTTATTTTGTGATGAAATCTACATTAAACCAGTCGAAATCCTTGACTTCAGGATGGATGTCTTGATGCTTCAATAAGTTGTCCCGGTCGGTGTGGTTCAGCGTGTCGGCTGCCAAATGAATGCTGGTCTATGGTATTGATTAACAGTGGAAGTATATCGTGAACTGACAGAATTTAGAATTTATGCGTCATTTTATCCCAAATGAGTGACTGAGTGAACAGTAGACTGGCCTCGTCAGCTGAAAGTCCTGGATTATATTCATGGTATAATCACTGGTAGGCACTTCTGAAGAGCCCCAAACAAGGACGAAATCTCTATTAAAATTTGCAAGAATTCCTAAAAAGCTTTAGGTTTCAAGTAATTAGCTGTCATATTTTAACTAAAATCCACCTAGAAATATTTTGAACAGTAAGGGTAAGATATGAAATTGATGGCGTAGGAAGTTCATGGACTAAAATCGATGGCTTTACGGTCTTCAACGTGAAGCACTTCTATCTTCGGTCTTTTTGAATAAATAGAAAGAATGAAAAGGTGTGACTCAAGAGAAAGTATGACAAATTATACAACTTACCATAAATGTGACAACATTTCAGTTACAGTACCAGATACAACCTTGATATCGGAGACAACCATAAATCCTATCATCACTTCGTAAAGAACTCAGTTACTGTACTTGAATGATTCTTTTCTTTGTACTGGCAGCTTTCTAGTTATTTAACGGAATATTCTTGGCATGATCGCATCATTAATTTGTCAAACATTATTTAACAACACAAATGAGCTTATGAAGTGATGAAGCAGCCTGACGACTATCTAACTGTGACAGAGAGAGATGTGTGCCCCAATAGTTGTGCTTACACTAATTTCACTTAGCATTTCATGTAACTGAAAAATTTCCAGCACTTTATATGAAGTAAAATGTAGTCTTATATAACTTAGGGATCTAAAATGTTTTTTGATTTAATTGGATAAGAATAAAGACTGCTAAACTTGAGTTATTTTCTTATAATTTCAGGTCATCTCTCTGGAAACTGTCACAGGTCATCAATAGAAATTCAAGAAGCTGAAAAAACACGCATGTTTCTCTACGGTTATCTATCGTGTGAAACAGCCTTTAAAAACTCTATTCAAAGATATTTATCCAGCCAGCAGTTGACCAGTGAATGCGTCTCATCCTCATTATCAACATCTATTTGTAATAAAACAGAAAAAGACTATCTTTCTATCCTTTCTGAAGAAATGACTCTGCATAGACAATCTACAATGTCACGTCTATTCAACAAAGATCTACCTTCACCTAGTGGAGTTTCATCTAATTGCACTGCCACAAAACAGAATTCATTAAGTGATACATCGAACTCAACTACTTCATTACCAGATTATAGTCCTCGACAGAATTCTCCACTTCACTGTACAGAACACCATAGTCCAGTGAATTCATCCGTACAGTTGAACAGCGTAAATGAAGAAGTTTTTGATTCTGATTCGTCAATATCACAATCTCACGGTTCATTCTTAGGAACTAACGAAGGAAATCTGTCTTAGATGAGAAACATTTATGGAGACCATGGTAGTAGTTTTTCCTTGTCAGATAATGATTATACCTATTTTGTACAGTTTTGAACAATTAAAAGAATATAACTATTTATTTAAAACAATCTTAAAGCATTTTCTCTGTTTTTGATACTACTTATAGGATATGCGTGACTTCCAAACAGACTAGATTTTAATGATTCTCATCTACTAGGTTCAACTGTGACTTACGATATATGAAGTGCATTTTAAACTGTGACAGAGAATTGAAGCTCTTTATCAGTTCCACTGTGACGGTTAAGCTGAGACGTAAAAGGCTATTATATCTTTTGTAGAACAGAATACATGACGTTTCCAGTTAATAGGTCGTTGTAATAATGGCCTTATTCAGTAGAGAATTCTCGGCATGTTTTATCTGGAAATATTTGCTTTTCGTACAGAAACCTTGGGTACGACATGGCAGTCAAACCTGAATGACATAACTACAGCTACACTGGCTGGAACCAATATTCCTGCAGATCCTTACAGACCAGAGTGCTCGTTTGAGTAATATTCAGACTAAAAACAGTTATTATCCCGGTGTAGTTTGATTCCACTTTGTTTGGCGTCTGAGAGAGAAGTTGTTCTATTGGCAAGTAAGGATGTAATAGCAGTAAGGAGTTTCCCTCAAAAAAAAAACCAGTAGATCGACTATGCTGTCTATCTGCTCTGGAGAAAATGGGTTAAAAATGAAGATGAAGCCTAGAAATGGTACATCCTTGTGGCCGACTTAATACAAACACACTTCTGCATGTAGTAGGCCTCAAACAGTTGTCTTCTGGGCTTTTTGGTAACGCAACACTAATTCTCTTCCTGATTTAGGTATTTCCGAGAAGAAATCAACTTATGAAGTGTAGGCATCTAGGAAGCAATGACTGCATACTCACTTTCATAAGCATACAGAGCTCTCTTAGTTATCACTCATGTTCGCCTTCTTCCCGTTTTTTCCGATCCATAACAATGTCTTTTCTTCATATCCACAGGAAAATGCTGTCTAAATTTGTATATTGATATAGACTGGAGTGCTATGGTGAATAAGAAGTTAGGTGGTGCAGGGATTTTAGCCAACCACCAAGATATACACTTAGTATGACGTAACCAAAGTACTGCAAGTGTAGTAAAAAGCATAATTAATACTATTTACATAGATATCCCAAAGGATTTTATGCAATCAGAGTTGATTTGTTCAGCCCCGATGAACTTCTACGAAGAATGACTGAAGTATGCTTATGAAATTCTTCATAACAACAACAATAATAATAAACAATTTAAGGGATATTCACGTGTTCTACTGTTAAATATCGTTGATTTCATTAATTAGTTTCTAGTTACCTAGACATCAATCAAGAAAAACAAGAGTAACAAATAAAGTCTGAATGTTTACACACATTTTTTCCGTGGTAATGAATGCATCTTAAATAATTTTGTTCACAATGACAATTTCGTCTTCAAATGAATAATTTAAGCGTGACGTAAGGAGAGAAAGTTAATATACTTAGGAATTTTATGCTAAACTGACAGACACCTCTCTTACCTGAATGATATACTAATGAGATTAAACTGAATTTGACTTTCTTCTGAATTTCTAAGTCCTAGAAAATGAGGAGTGAGAAATAAGGATTCATATCACGCTCTGCTTGAAGCTGTATCATTGATTTAACCCAAAGAATTTTTTCCTTCACATTTCCAGTGGAACATAGGGCTTCAAGCTGGTGGCTTGAAGTTTCTGTAGCAGTGTTTATTTTCACAGGATGGGGTTGCTAGCCTCATGCCCAACCTTTCCTCTTTACCAGCTTTGTTTCTGGCTTAGCGAGGTGAAGAAGTGCGCCGGCAGGGGATCGAACCCTTGCATGGACGGCGAGCGTCCTAACCGCTGATCCACTGACGCAAGAATTGTATATGTGAAGTGTTTATGGCTAGGAGAATGTCACCTGAATACATTAATTTCCTTGAGAAAGAGTTATACCTTTCTCTGTTGACACGTTTATTGGATGAGTTTATTCGTTGTGTAATAAAATGGTGCTTCCTTTGAGTGGTTAGTCACTTTAATGTTGTTCTTGACTGTTGTATAAAACTTACATGTATTCAGGTCATTCTGGTATTAAATTTCAAAATAATGGCGTAATGAAAGCCAGGGGAAAATAATGATAAAATACTATAGGTGTACACAGCTGATGGGGTTATAAAATATAAGCAGACTATTATCACTAGTTAGAATTCATGTAACTGAGTTAAGCTAACGTTACTTAGTGTCTGTTGTACTTTAAGTTTTGCTTTGTGGTTTTATGATATTCATAAATTACTGCGTATAGTTTTGTCTTCAATTTTAAGTATCAGACATAGGAAAACGTAGAGATTTTAACTTGAAATATAGTTGTAGGATGTAAATTTAGAGTTATAATGATAATATCTATTCAAGTATTGGTTTTTAGGGGTTTGATTGATTTGTTACAGGATTTCACCATGAGCTGACTTAATGACCTGACAGTGGCATAATTGTCTGTGAGCTCGCCTTGTAACCAGAAGATCTTAGGTTCCAAACCCAGCAGGCACGTACTGCGAAAGAGTCCCAAACTAGGACAAAACGGCTGTTCAGTACTCCCAGTAGATTTTCCAATGGTTCTCTAACTGACGTCAGTTCATAGTGAAATCCTGTAACGAATTATATCTAATATTCATCCTTTGGATTCCAAGTCGAACATAGGGGCAACACATCTTCATTTCACTCTTTTTTCTGCTGTCTTCTTTTAAAGCTGACTCTACGATTGCTCACAAGGTCTGATTTCCTCTTTTCATGATCTCCTCCAAGTTACTCTCTTACCCATTCCTAACAAGTCATTTTTCAGTAAGGTTCTTATTGAGGGCCTAGCTGGCCGGTGATGTCCCTCAATGCTCTGCTCAGTATATATCAAACCAATCTCCACTTTCTTCTGCATATTTGGTGGACACTGGGTTTTTTTGGTTGTTTCTCTAACGGCGTTCCTCGTCACTTATCCCTTCTGGCCGGCTGTATGGTCTTAAACATCGATCAAAGCCAAATGAAATTTATGATAATAACCATGAAAATGTTGACTAGGCAGCTACTCCTGTTCGTCGCTTACGCGTTGATAAGCTCTAAGCCGTGTATTTCTGTAGGAGAATTATAAATGAAACATTTTAAAAATGAAGATTACAAATGACCTGAGGTTTATGTTTTGCCTATACCACAGAGAAAGGGAAAGTGGAATTAACGTGTTTAATATTATAGTTGAAGTGATAGGATTTGTTTAAAAAGGACATCAGGAGTATGCAAAACAGAGAAGTATGTGTTAAGGTGAGGCGAGTGAATAAACAGTTTCTGCCACTATCTATGGAATGTAAATGCACTGAGGAAAAGTAAAATAACTACGAAAGTAGAAGACAGAAGGCTACCATTAAACCACATGACTGAAGTACAGTACTTATGCTGGCATGTGACATATGGCAACCACCACCATTTCCTAATTTATGAATAATAACTATCACATTTGACTTTATAGATTGCACTAATCACAGGTGCACACTAAGGCTTTTGAAATAATGGGAGGCAGATCACTGCCTTCCTAAGAAAATATAAGAAACCAAAGATATAGCCTTTTATGTGCATCCTTATCTGAAGTACTTGGTGTATATGTGTTCGTAGTATCCATGTGTTACTCCTTTGTTTGCCTGCATGTTACCACATAAACAAACTTCTTAGGAGATGCACTTAACTTTCAATCTTGAACTGAGTACTTGCAGTGTGTCAGAACAAATGTTACGTCCTAATATCTTGTTTGATCCAGTGTAATCAAGGCAGTTACATTTTCTTCTGTTATAAATGGACTTAAGGTTGAGTATTTCTAAAGGATTTTAGAATGGCTTATATTCCAGAGGATTTCTTTGTCTGTTTGATTAATACGATGTCACACAGGAATTCTTTTCGTCAACAATGAAATAATATTAAGTTAGATCACAGACTGACAGGGAATACTGCCCATTTGTTTCGTTCCCGTTTGGGATCCTTCATCATAGCCCACCTCTGACCACACAAGGAGTCATATCCGGGGTCTTAAAGTTACGCTGTTAGCCCACTGACCATTCAGACACCGACGGAATATATCATTTCGAACTTCTGTAATTTTGAGACACAGCGTGACCACTAGGCAATGTCATCCTCACACCCAATTTGGTATGCTTCATTGGTTACGAATACTCGCTAGAACTTCAGGCAACTTTGTCCTGCAGTCAGCCACTAATGAGCTTAGATTATCTGCCATAGGCTCGAAATGACAGAAGTTCGTATTCATGATCCATTAGATTCCGTCATAGAGGCTGAATAGTCATTGGGCTCACCTCATGCTCTGAAGTCCCTGGGTTCAATCCTTGGTGAAGCCATGGGTACGTACTGCTGGAAAGTGCCAAACTAGCACCAAATAGCTTTCCCATGTGTGCCGTTTTTCACACAGTAGTTGAACTGATGTCACTGCATAGTCTAATCTGAAGCCAATCAAATCTTGGCCAAACAACCCTTGGAAGTGAGATAATTTATTTTGCTGTTTACTTATTTTCACAAGTTATTTGATACATTTACACGTACAGCTAGATTTTGCCACAGGCTGGAATAACATTTCACCTTAATGACATGTCGACTAAATTCAATAATAATAATAATAATATCGTAAACAGATATATATTCCAGTGTACGTGTATCCTTGAGCGTCGATCAACACAAGACTTAAAATGTTTTACATTCGTATGTTGAGAGATGTGATGGTGGTGGTGGTGCTCCAAAAGGAGATCAAGTTACAGAAATGAATTTATGATGTTTAGTGGGTAAATTAACTGGTCAGTCAGTTAGTCAATTGAAAATCGACAGTCGCATAAGCCTCAGACTTCATTATTCACTCTGTAAATAATAGAAAAATTTCGTTATAAACAACCAATGTTGCTGTTACTTACTATTAAAAAAACAA